TCGTGTAGGTATACACCTAAATATCAACAAATCAAAGCATTAACTTTTGTGAAAACGAGATAATCTTCGAAATTTTGGCTCTAAAGTCGAATAAAATACAATCATACCTCTGATATTGTAAGCCTCGAGATGGTAGGCATAGTACACCTCGAGAATTCTACAGAGGTATTGTGCCAATTTCCCGTTCGATGATGCCAATCTATCCCGGTCAGCAGCTGTCCAATGGAAACAGGTAATGGTAAGAACGGTTTTACATGATCTTCTAAGGCACATCTACAAGTCCAAGCAGACGGAAAAACCTTCCGGGCAAAATACCTGTCATAACCACTTGATGGGTCACGTTTATCCCGATGGCAATGATATCAGCTCCACTTGTGAATACAATATCCGCAGCTTCTGGATCACCGAAAATCTACCCTAGCCGATGAATGGATAAGTACATATACACAAGGTTGATAGAAAGGCAATGTACAGATTATTTTGTTCTAACACAGGGAAGTCCAGACAAGACGAAAACTTGAACCAGACATGGAACTTACATTGGCTTCTGCCGCTGGATTCACATTTCCATTTACGGCAAATGCTCCACCAAGAAGAACGATCTGTCCGACATTTTTCGAGAACTCTGGATCGAGCTGAATAGCCTGCATCAAGGAAAAATGAAACCTTCCATGATAAACAAGGATGTATGCTGAAGCTAGAAAAAGGAAAACAACTGTATGTGAAGTAGTTCTGACCAGTGCAATATTAGTCAATGGGCCCAATGCAACAACAGAGATTTCTCCAGGGTGAAGCTTTGCTTGCTCGGCTAAATACTCGGGTGCAGATTTCTCGATTGCTTTTCCTTTAGGTGGGGGGAAATTCTGGTTGCCGAGCCCGTCCGTTCCATGAACAAAATCAGCGATCCGGAGTTTTGTGCCGTTCTTTACAGAAAAAAGAGGGGGAACACGTAACTTATCAATGTAAGGGGAATGAGAAAATAAGAGAAAAGATGACAGAAGAAAGCACTCTCTCTCTTTGAATTAGAGAATATAGTATCACAGAGATCGATCTGTTTATCATTTGAATCCTTGTTTATGCGAAACAGGTTGAGAGCTTAACTCTGGACGTTCAACTAAATGGAAATGCGAAAGTGGTAAAAAAGCAAACTTTCGGCTGATACTGAGAGTCTATGATAGATCAAGTTTTACTGAGATCTATGAAATATTCAAAATCTCTTACAAATGAGATAACTTTTGAGATCCCCACAGTTGATTCCGTGATCTAGAATCTAATCGTATCACAACAATGGACGATGAAGTCGAAAGAGATCAAGGCTATAAACATTGTCAATGTGGATAGGTACATACAGTGATGGTGGTATGAGTTCCTTCAGCCACTGGAATGTCTGTTCTATCCGCCACCTCCAACTAACAAATCCACAAGAAAGATTGTTAAATCATCATCTCACGTACCGAATTGATTCCATTTTCTGTTCTTGAGAAACAGAAACCGTCTGTACAAAACGAAAAAAAAAGACAGCTTGAACAGTGTAGAACATAATGGATGATACCAAGTGCAAGGCATTTCGGGTGGCGAGAGTGGTGTAAACATTGCCGTAGATTGTCGTGAGACCAATCACATCTACTTCCGGCGATTTCAGAGCCACAAATATAGCCATTGCATCATCTGCACAGATCCCAACAAGCTTTCTTCATGTAACAGTTCAGGTTGCGTGGAAGTTGAGCACAATCGCAATTCCAGATCTTTGATGTCGGAAAAACTCACAGACCCAGATTCAGAATAATGATAAATACTAAACCCAGTTGGTTTAAGAGGAGAACAACGAGACCCAACTCTCTGAAAATTGAGGGAAATTAGACAAGACATCGGCTCGATGAACTAGGGGAAGACGAATCGAAACAGAAATCGTTACATTGCGCAGACACAGTGATAGAAATCAGGACAGAACCTTCCAATATGATAAGGAACCATACCGATGCCTGGATCAGTGTCGATGATCATCTTCCTGCGTTCTCCAATCGCCATCGGAATATAACAAAGAACAACAAACAAACAAAAAAGCGGAGATTTTGAGGGTACTTAATGAAACAGGGCAAATTCCCCAGTTTGTGATGGCAAAAAGGCGTCGAATTTCCTCAGAAGCTCAATCCTTTTCAGCATAATCATCCAGGATTAGGTGTCAGCAGCCATAAGCGAATAAGAAAATGGTGAGCGAAAAGTAGAAAGTCCAAAACAAAAAAGAAGTTTCCTCATTGGTACATTTTCTTTTAATTTCAATAATAAAAAAAAACTCGCCCTTTGATTGATTTTTAAATTCGCCACGTGGGTTTCATATCTCTTCCAATGAATCTTCTTCCAAGGGTTTTGTTTGTGTTGCCACGTGTGTTTTTCATGATAACAGGAACCGAATAAAATCCTACATTATAATTGTAAATTTTAAAAAAAATCCCTAATCTTTGTTTTTTTATGAAATAAAATCTCAATTTCATTTTTCAATTAAAAATAAACTCAAATTTTATAATTTTTATCATTTTTTAAATTTATTATTAATCTGACGTTCCGACATTTTACGTGATAAGTTAATATTTTGATCATATTTGATATATCATCATCAATGTATCACGATATCGAAATGTCAAGTCAGCAATAAATTTAAAAATGATAAAAAAAAATATCAAGTTCGGGGTTATTTTTGACCGAAAAATAAAATTGATATTTTATTTGATAAAAAACAAATTTTAGGTTTTATTTTGTAAAAATTGAGAAATTTAGGTATTTTTTAGGATTTTTTCTAAATTTAATTATAATGTGATAAGGCTAAGTATTTGATACATACGCATATTGCATTTGCTTTGCTTGCTCCCAAAATTTCACCATTCAATTTCACATCCCACCGAAATTTTGCATCATTCGTGGCAGTGGATCCTAAGGCACGAGAATAGTTTCACTAACAAAAAAAAAAAAAATTGCTCATTAGAAACACAATTTTTTTTGCTAAATAAATTTCGAGATAAATTATCCGTCACAATATTAGTTACAATCATAAAAATTGGAAAAAAAAAACATATTAACACCTAAATTATCAACAAATTCGAATAAATCTTAATCTCTTGTATATACACTAAAAAGTATTAAACAGATTTTAAACTCAATTGAAATAATAGAAACTAACAAAAACTTTTAAAACATGGATATTCTTATACAAAAAATAGAAATTTATTCGGATTCCTAAATAATTAAATTTTATCATCCAAAGAAACACGTTTTTCCTTTTTTTTAATATATACTTCGGCATTGATTTCCTTTTCGTCATAAAAAAAAAATATATATATATATATATATTTCCTTTTCTCTCTCTCTCGATCGATTCCTAATAGTACAAGCAGAAGATATCCTAATTCTGATATAACTAAGACTACTACTTGTGTGTGTGTATATATATATATACATACACACGCATACTCAGCTCCATTCTTCCACTGTTATCTTCCGCTCTCTTAGCCATGGCTTCTCCTCGGTCGTCGTCTTCGTCGGTCGGTGCCCTGCTCGACTCATTGCTCAGCAAGTGGTACGTTTGCGCGTCAGTCACCTTAGCTCTCTGGTTCCCCTGGCTGAAGGTTATCTTCTGCAGCATTCGACCTCCCGCCCAGACCCATGATGATGAATCTTCTTCTCCGCCAGACATCGAACAGGGGATTGTCGCTCCTACCGACCTAACTGACGATGAATCTTCTTCTTCGCAAGACACTGAAGAAGACGGGATTGTTCCTATCGACCCCCCTGTCCTGATCCAGGTGGAGAGCTGCAAGTTCGAAGATGCGGGCGGAGTTGCAGATACATGTTGCACGATCTGTCTTGAAGATTTCATGGCGGATGATTACGTCATCGGTCCCTATGACTGCAAACATATATTCCACATTGACTGTGTCGACAGGTGGATCAACCGGGGCTTCCCTCAAAGCTTCTGTTGCCCGAATTGCCGCAGCATTGTTTGCATCAAGGAAGAAAACATTGTAAGAGACTAGACAGGAGGATTTAGTGTTCCTCCGTTATTTGCTCCAGCGAAGATAACATTGCAAGAGACAGGGTTTAAGGGTTTAGGGTTCTTTCATTATTTGCTTTAACGAAGAAAACATCGTAAGATAGAAGGTTTAGGGTTTAGGGTTCCTTCATTATTTGCTTCAATGAAGAAAGCATTGTGAGATATAGGGTTTAGGGTTCCTTCATTATTTGCTTCAACGAAGAAGACATTGCAAGAGACATCAGTAGCTATCTTAATTATGTACAGAAATATTCGTTGAGTGTCGATCTATAATATCTGAGAGCTTTTACTTCTAGTGCAGTCTTTTTTCTTTTTCTTTTTCATCTGCAACAGTCACTCTTGCAATACCAAAGCATGACATGAGAATTATTAGATCATAAAGGTTGACCGGACAAAGATTTGGTTTAAACAAGTGAACTCCATGGACAGAACCCAGAACCCTGGTTTGAAACTTTAGAAACAGGTGCAGAGAATCTGCAAATCAAGAGGTTGCATGATGTTCTTATACCTAATATGGGAGCATACAAACACAGCCTTTGCAAACATATACAAAACCTAAGGGAGTTGCTAATTCCATAGTTCGACACGTTCTCGTATATTTTCCAGACTAAATGAATTCATATAATCACGCGGGCTTATGCGTATTGACACTTACAGAGACTGAAGGTATTTCTTCCTGGGAATTCCCGATGCCATTCAAACAAGGCGGTTTGGCAGCTCCATAATAGAAGAATGCCATTATCTTCGAGAGCTCGTCTGCAGTTCTGACGTCTGAAAAAGAAAATCTTTGTATATTTCACCGTTCAAAAGTAACAGAAGAAGACTGATTCCAAAATTGATACATTCCATATCTTACCTTTCTCACGGTACAATATTTTTCCTGCTTTTGTGAAAATTAGCTCAGGGAAAACAGATACTTGCAGAGCAGAAACCAAGTCGGTTTCAACCACAGCATCAACCGCAACACACTGAAAAAAATACCGGGAAATTAGGCACGGACAATATTTTTGAGAGAAAAAGGCTACGACTTATCAGAAACAGAAAGAGAGAGGAGCCGGATCCATTACTCTAGGTGAAGGTAAACCACAGTTCCATATAACATGTACAGCCTTCTCCAATTCATCTCTGAACTTTTCGTTTTCCTTTGGCCTGCAATAAGATCATATGCATATTATACTTAATACATACACTAGAAATTACTAAAAATACAACAGAGTGAAACTTTCAACCGTTAAAATGAGTTTATCCACAAACAAGATAAATCCTCATTCAGCTTAGCTAGAAACAGAGATAACTTTGATGATGAAACAGATACATTATCCACCAGGTGGCAGGGCTGGTCCTAATAATGTGAATGGCAAGAAAAGCAATATTCTTTCAGAGTTGAACGTGGAAAAAAATGCAAGAACTGAGCAGTAATGTAAATCAATAATATTGATTCAATATAGATGAACAGTTAAATATACCTTTTATAGCGGTTGTGAACAAGAACGATAAGAGGGCTAATATCTTTGAACACAGCCTCCTCCCATTCTGCAGTTGTGATATCTTTAATCGGTCGTATGTAGTTATCGTCCTGCCAGACTATCTCCTTCTCACTGTCATACCCATCATCGTCATCGTCCTTCTTTTCATTCTTAATGGTGATCTTATTGAAGAACTGATTGAAGCTAAAGCCCCAGCCATCAGCATCCTCAGACCAATTAGGATCTTCTTCATTCACAACAAGGGGGTAATCGGAGAGAAGCTTTTGCATCTTCCTCCTCTTCTCAACAAGATCAACCTCCTCCTCGATATCGGGATGCCTATCAATCACTTCCCGAATCTTCTTCCTCCATTCCCGCCTCTCTTCTTCATCATCAAGATACGTTTCATAACTCGAATTTTTGGCAGTGGCATCATTTTTTACGTCGTCTTCCTCATCCTCACTATCGCTCGATTCTTCTCTCCATAACTTCTTCCCAAGTTTATCAACCAATCCAAAAGCTTTCACATTTCTTCTGGTTCTCATGAAGTTCCCACCCTAGTAAAAGCCGTCAGAAGGAGAAAGTCACAGCAAGACGTATTTCGTTATGCCGAATCCATGAATCCAAATCTATATACAGAAAATAATGGAGAAATTGGGTCATCAGAAAATATTTAAGGAACCGATATTCACCAATCTTAAACACTCGAATCTCGACGATTTAACCTCCAATATGTCCCTTTTGCGATTGACCGGAGTAGGAACACCGAGCCACAACGGGCAATGGCTGAAGCCGTTCTCTTTCACATGCCAAGTTACGTACTGTAACTGTACTGAATAAGGGAGTGACATCTCTGAAACAGAAGTCAATCAGACAACCGAACAAGAATGTCGGAAATCAGGCACTGAAAGCAATTTTCGCCGTCCAAGGAGCTAAGGAGAGAGAATCACACGGCGGAGGATAAGGGCAATTTCCAGCAGCTTAGCCCACGAGACGAGTCGATAATTCGATTCGTACTTCAAATAGGCAGAAAAATTAACAAAAGAAAATAAATGGGTTTGTTTCAAATCGACGAACCTCAGGAATCTGAAGCTTAATTTTGCCGCTGGATCGGAAAGCTAAGGCTCTGTAAACCGACCGATTCAGCTTGTTCTTCGTTTCCACAGGGAAAAAAAAAACCTATTAGACCCTTTCATGGGATAAAGAGAACAGAACACGTTCCAGTAAGCAAGTGACACGTCTTGCTCTCTCCCTCTCCTTTTAATTGTACCGAAGAAATTTATTATTAAATTATAAAAAGATATTAAAAATAAACAAAAAAGATTGTTCTAATTTTATTCAAAATGTTTTGAAAAAGTATTTAATTTAATATTTTCATTTTATGATTACCTCGCTTCTATGTACCGTATTAAACAAACCTTGAGATTAGATCAATGACGTAATAATTAATTATTTAATTTATCAATTATTTTTACTTGTACACTAAAATATTTTCTTAACTGAATCCTCAATGAAACTTGCAAACACAAAACGTTTTAGATTGAGAATCTTTGTTTTCAGGACTAACACAAACAAACGCATCAAAAGGAAATCCGATAATCCCAAGTAACTTGCTTCACAAGAAATCAACACTTTAGGAGCACGAATCAGATTCAGTTGGAAGATCTAGCGCACAGTTGATGATGAAGCGGATACTGTCGGAATCAGCCAACAGAACAGACCGAGCTTCGTCTCTCTGGTCAACCTCTGGTTCGAATACTCTACCAGTTTGTTCCACAGATCTCCCACCGTCCATTCATTTGACAGAATCCACTCAATCACCTGGCGAAAATCTCGGTTTAGACAAAGGTAAAGCAAGTAACCTCAACCCGGGAATCGGTACACGACCCGGTCTCGACAATGATTCTGTTTGCTGGAAAAATCCAAAACTGTGATGGTCTGAAACATCACAGAGTGAAGAACCAAACCTGGTTCAAGTTATGGAGCGACTCGAAGCCGAATGTGTAGTAAGACATGAAGGGTCTTTTGGCCTGATACTTGAGGTAAGTTACAACAAATGAAGCGATGAAACACTTAGAACAGCATTCGAGATTGGACTTGGAGCAGTTTTCATTACCTCTGAAGCGGCAAGCCATTGGAGCATGGACTTGAGTTCAGGATCTCCACCATAAGCTCCACATCCCCAGTTTCCCGTCGCAACACCGACTCGATCTTCATCATCTATGTTTTGAGCTTTGCAAAAGTGCAGAAATCCACAGAAAGCCTTGTTGGTTTCTCTGTGAAAGATCGAAAAGTATTATCAGTGATAAATTTTTCGTTTTTGTTATCTGCAGAGAACCTAAATGGGATACCGGAGGAGGCAGTCAGATTTGTATTGGGAAGTTCCTGGGCGACGCAGAGCATCAATGGCAGTGATTCTCGTTTTTCGCCTTCCAAATATGTCTCGTTCTCTTGTGTCAATGTAGTCACCGATGAACCTGAATGAAGACGAATACCTGCAGAACCGAGTTTCATATTCAGGAATCAGAATGTGTATATATATGCATGTGTGTGAAACAAAATATAGTGTATGATCAGTATACCCTATGTAATGTGAGAATCTTTCAGCTCCAACGATTTCAATGGTTTCGTTGACGTCCATAGCTGGCAAGAACAGCATTCCACCGATCAGTTCTGGGTTTATCATAAAGCGGATCTCTTCCTGTTTGAGAGCAAAACCCTCTTCAGAACTTCATCGAAAATCTTCAGACAATGCATTGTAAGAGAGAGGAGGTTACAGACCTGGACACATCCCTTGCGAAGGACACCACCTCCTAAGTACTTATTCGCGAAATCAACTTCAAGAGCTTCACCACGTTGGTCCTCGATCAGCCCCGAATTATGAACCTACAGCCATAAAAATCGCAATTTCTTAGACGCAAATCAATCCCCTGGTATCATATATATATTGAAATATTCTATGAAATGTCGGTGTTTACCTCGACAGCACAGAGTGTAGAAGTAGATTTGCTCCAAAAATCAGTGTCTGGATAAGTAACGTGGACAGGATGGTTTTCAAACGGAAGAACCTTTCGCTCAAAGGACACGAAGCCTGGGGGCAAACCAGAAGACACCCTTTCGAAGTAGTGAACAATGCACCTTATCTTGTGTTCCTGCTTTTCGTCTTTTTTCGTGTTGATCAGATTCCTGAAACATGTCCAACACAAAGATCTTGACGTTCCTTCTTGTGATGGAGGTTATGCGTCGATGATCTAACAGGTCATGACCTTAGCAGTTTGATCTTTCCAATGGAGTATTCTGATGTAAAAGTTTTAATCATTACAATGTTTGAGGAAAGAAGTTTATGGGTCTTATGGAAACTTTCAAGGACTAGGAAAATGGAATACAATGACATTTGCAAAGACGTTCTTAACAGCAACAGGCACAGATGAAAGAATGTCGAAAGAGTTGAGGATACATACCCGAATAATTTGTCGAAATTGATGATCGGAAG